GCTCGTTGATATACTTGAAGCTATAAACTATATGTATCTCTGTTAGTCATCCTCTTATCAACTTGAATCATTCATTGAATGTCTGCATAACCTTTCAGAGTATTACTACAACACTATCCTACAACCAAAATCTTTCAGAGATTCCCCTTAAATCTTATTATTAAGATTGAATTTATTCCTGCCCAACAGGCTAAAAGTTGTAAAGAGTTAATGGACACAACATAAAACTGCTTGGGTTAAATGGAAAAGCGAAGTTGGACATAACTATGCTGCATGTATTGACAAGCAAATCAATGACTTTCTTTCATGAAGAAACATTCACCGGAAAGAAATAGAGATCATTAGTGTGACATCAGGCCTCCTTAGCAATGGTGGTTCTGGTTCTAAACCAACACCGAGGCACTCAGTTGACAGTAATTCCAGCCGTTGAACTGATCCCAATCAGTCCTTTACAGCGTTTAGATTTGAGTGAAATGCATTGACTTGTAAACAATATTCAGCGGAAAGACTGTGAAGTTCAAATATATTTAAAACCAATTCAAAGTTCGTATGATGTTCAATTGTTTTGTTCCTGACTGGAATCATCATTCTGAGAGTCACTACTGCTGCTTTTATTGATTTCCTAAAGAAGAGTGACGGCTAAATAGGTGTAAAAAGCTGATAAGGTTTGTAAATTCATAAATAATTTAAAATTCGATTGAAAAAATGGAAACATGTTGGCTAGTTTCAGTCAACCTAGGCCTTTTCATTACCATTGCTGCACAAAACCTAATGCCAAGTGAAGTGTCAGTAAAGGAGGGGAAGTAAACTTGTTATTAAAAAGTCAACACAAATACTGATTTCTGATAAGCAGGAATCATTGCTGCCATTTTCTAACTGCAGAATTGTAATAGACTGTACATATGTTGAAATTGCAACACCAAAACAAGTGGATCTTCGCAGGATCACCTACTCTTCCTATAGAGGAATGAATTCATTTGAGGTGTTGACTGGCGTATCATGTAATGCTGTGATAACGTATGCCAGCAACTTGTACCCAGGCTCTACATCTGAAAGATGCATAGTTGAAAACAGATGATACCTGCAACATGAAATTTAAGTTCAAAAGTAAGGAACCATCAGACCACCAAGCAGTTATTAGAACAGGTGTCAGATGTCTCAAGCTTTTAGCTTGGTTTTGTGGAACAGTTATCTTGTATTCAAAGATGTTTTCCAAGTCGCTCTTCCCCATGGCCAAAAAGGAAAGATCCTCCTGTTTCTCCTCCTGTGTCACCTACCCTTACTTGGAAGCAATACTGTCTACAGCAAGATGATATTGAAAAAATCATTGCTTACATAAATTAAAAATGCAAAATGATTTATCTTGTTATAAAGTTGGAAACACTCTAATGACTTTGCCCAGTATTAGTATTAATTCCATGTACAAATAACAAATTTAATTATAGCTGATAACTTCTGAATGAGCAATATACACTATTATCATATATTTTAAATTCTAAATTTGATGAAACTACAATGATACCACCTGACCAAAGCTGGACAACAATAACAACCACTGGTTTCAGTGGCACAACTATCCAATTAAAATGTTATATTTTCAAAGTAACTTTTACTAGCCGAAGAACTTTGAAGCAATTGGTGGATCTAACAAATTATAGCATAATCAGCAAAATTTCAATGCAGTCTGTCATTAGAGATATTTGAGATATAGCCCTGAAATTTCCAGGATTGTATGTTCATGTGATCTGTAACATAGCTCCAAAAAATGGAAAATTTTGAGACAGTTGGTTACACTTTTAAATGTTTTGCCCTCCCTTGACATTGATTCACCCTATAGTACTAGTGCTTAAACATGTTCAGCAAAGAGCATTGTATTTCAACTTTGTGAAAAACTCCAAAAGCAGTTCAACTTTAAACAGGTTTTTAACAATTGATATTTATCTTCAGCTGAAAGAACTTGACATTTTATCTGCTGTCATGATTGGGAAGATGGTCTTTCTATCAGACTGATCAAAACGCTGCTCCGATTGTCTTCAGATGATACAACAACAGATGTGTTCAGCTTTTGTCAACATACCTTGGAATTGAAAGGCCAAAATCAGAAAAAAAGGTTTGAGCAAAAAAAAGAAGACACAAATTTTGGTCGAGTTTTCAAATGTGGTCTATAGGTGGATTGGATCTCGCAGCAAGCTCATTGCATTGTAGCTTTTATTTTATAATAATTGGACATAACTTAATGTTTTAAGAGAAATCAATACAAATTAATATGATAATTGAATAGTACCCTCACTTGAACTAGACAAAAATGAGGTAAAAAATTGAATTTTTCTGTTATTTTAAGTAAAAAATATTCGAAAGAATTTAATAGTTGAAAGCTTGCCAACACAGTTTCTTCCTAAGAAGAATGTCAAAACACCAAAACCCCCTGCAAGACAAGAGTTAGTGACAAAATACTCTTCCAATACACCTCAACTGTACAGATTCTTTGGATAAGGTTCAAAATGAATTATCAAAACTCAAAGATCCCTGGAGAGTATTACTGAACAAGAAATAAGAAACAGTTATTGTCGGATATATAAGTAAAGATAGAGATGTTATTTACAAGGTAGCTGTTGAAGAAGCCTTGGAATTTACCATAGAGTATTTGTCATGTGGGCTTCCAGTTAATCATCCTATTTACAAACAGTATAAACGAAGTGTTGCTAAAATCAGAATTTAGTGGCTTCTTCAGTCTATTTCTTCATTTAATAAATGTAATGGTGTAACCAACCCAGAGCTAAAAGCATTTGGAGAGCAATCTATACTGGAAAGAAAGCAAATATGTGATTACAATTCACAAAGAAGTAAAGTCAGTTGTGGAATTTTTTTGATAATCTGCTCAAATTCTTGTTTGGCCTTGATTCATACAAATTGTGAAATTTGTATTGAATACAACAATTTCATTAAGCAATTGAAGAGAATGTCTGATCCAGCTGATCAAAAGAAAAATAAGAATCTAAATGCCAAATGCCCATTGGATAGAGTCACAACTGGTTGACTTTCTCAAGCAGCCAAGGACATAACCCAAAGCCAAAAGAAACTTGAGATAAAAATCAAGTAGTTAAGTCAACTTTTTCCAGCCTCGAGCCCCTTTATCCACTAATAAAAGTCATATTACATTATATTCTCTAAAATGAAAGGCAAAAGCGTTTGATTTATGCATTTTTGGGACTATAAACTCCCCAGTTGCTAATTCTAAAGATTTTTTGAAGTATCTAAAGATGAACCCTGAAGAATAACAAGACAAATTTGCTCTGCTATCTTGTTCATTGGTATCAACCATCGTATTTACATCTTACGATGCATCTAAATTCACCATTAACGCGCTCTCTTTTAAATCTACAGTCCCTGGCTCTGAGTAACGCTACAAAAATTCTCCAATTTTAACTACCAATAAGAAGCAAGAATAACATGTGCAGTTTTACGTCAACTAAAGCTAATTAACAGCAATTTTTATGTAGAAATAACGCTGCATGCCTATAACACGCTGAACGCTTATAACTAAATTTACCTAAACATGTATCTGTAGCCAAGTTATGGAATAAACAAGCAATGTTAAAGGTTCTACCACGATCCTAACGAGTTCACCATGCGATCCATCTAAGTGAACTGTAGGAAAAACAACTAATCACTACGCAATTCTGTATTTATAGCAAATAATTTACCAACTACGTGTAGCAATTATGGTTAGAAGAAAATTGCCTGAAAGCAATGGAAAATCCCGGTTCCGACATGCATCATCAAAATATACAATTTCCTGATTGTCAAAAATTCTAAGGTGGTCTTAAATGGAAAGATTTGATCTGGTCTATACTTCAATGATGAGGAGTATTGTCAACTTTATTAACCTTGTGTCATTGAAAACGATTGAAAGTGATTTGTAGGGTTGCCAGAAAAAGGGGGCAGAGGGGGCAACTGCCCCCTTGCTTGCAGCAAAGTGTCCATACTCTGTCATTTTCTTATCGTTTAGTCTGAAATTTCGTTCTTCTGCCCCCTTGACCTGCCCTTCTGTTGGCATCCCTGGTGATTTATTTTCAGCATTTTTGAAATTTTTACTGTGATATGCCAAAGTGAGGTTTTTGTTATTGAGTTGTTACTACACCCAATTTTGTATCACCTATGCTTTATCCTTAAAAATATTTACATTGGAAGGGTTTCTTATAAGGCAAACATTTATTCAATTTTGGACTAAAGTAAAAAGCAGATAATCTATAAAACTTGTATAATTGTATCTGATTAATGGCTATTCAAGTCACCTACATTGACGTTGACGGTAAAGTTGGAAAGTTCCTTTTTTACAGTTCACATGATTTCTTTTTTCTTTTTAAAGAAATCATTGTTTAAATCAGATTTCTTCTTGATCTCCCTCCTCAGGGCCTTTTCTTTTTTCTGTTTGCATAGTTGTGTAAAGTTATTCAATGGTATTCTTGGCATGTCTAAAAGATCTTATTTTTAAGTGTAAGTCAATACTGCATGTGTTAATAGTTTGTGTTTTCACCATTTGTTGCTCTAATATGTTCTGCTATATTTAAAAAATAATTCTACAAAACATTTGTTTTTTTTTTCTTCGTTTCCTACTGGTTCTGGACACACATTTCCTTTGTTATGCTTTTTTATCCTTTCTTAAGATGGTTTCCATTTTCAAAAAATTAAATGGAGAGTGTAGAAGCCAGAAAAAAAACCTACAGACAAGATCTCACACACAGCGATAAAGCAGAAAAAAGAGAAATTTTCTTGTTTGGAAGATATGTTGATATGTTTTATTCAGTTTTCTTGATGTAACTACAACGAAAAACTGTGATTTATTTGGTTCCTGTGTTGAATTTGGAAAAAGCTTCTCATACTTTCTTGCTGAAATCTAGAAAATTCTGAATCTAAACATATTTTTACCTGCCAAATAACTAATTTCTTTGTTTTCAAGTTGCATAAAATTTTACTTTCATGGCAGCATAAAGATGTATCCTACCAAATAAACTGCAAATGCAAGTCATGCTTGCAGTTGAAATTTCAAAACCGATCTTTGAAGTTCAGAAATCAGACATATAGGAGAAAGGTAAGAAACCTAAGGAGGCAACTTAGTAGAAAAGTGGAGCTTCTCATACAGATCTCAAAGAGAAAAATGCAGAGATTGTGAAGGAAGTTGAAGATTCCAGTGAAAATGAACTCATCCTGAGTGATGAGTCAGACTTTGTAGAGGGTGAAGAAATGGATGAAAGCGAATTTGAAGAATTGAGAAGTAACAGCTCATATATATAATGCATATTTTTCTACATTTTATTAAAGGTTTCAATTGCCAACCAACACAAGACTGAATGTATTCACATATAATACTCACTTTAAAATTGAAAAGAATATGATTGTGTTAAAAAAATATATACAGACTTTGATGTGTGTGTAACTATTTTTCATTGTAAGTGTGAATTCTGTTGAACCTAAGGAAGGAAGTAAAGTTCATCGTATCTCTGTCCCAGCTCATTCTGCTATTTCAATTTTGCCCTTCTTCCAAAGAAGATCAACCTTTGGTTGAGACAAAGAAAGTTTGAACTATGACAGAAATAACTACATCAAGTGCAAGCTGCAAGAAAAAGGATAATACGTGGAAGAGCAAAACTACAGTAAGAGGCAGCAAGATACCGGCTGGAAACCTGTTGCTGTCATTTGCCATATTGATGCTGGTAGAACAGCTACTAAAGTATTTCGCCTTTTTAGACACATGGGATTAGCATGCATTTCCATGAAAACTTACTTGAAACACCAACGAGTAATTAAATTTGCAATTTTCTCACATGTAAAGTTTTTTTTCTAATTTCCTTGTTAAATTCTTTATTATATTTGTAAACAATTTATTACTTGAAATTAATGTTATTTAGATTTAAGATTAAAGCTAAACATTGACTTTAAACTCTAAGTTATGTATTTATAAAGAATTACTTTTTGTGGTATAAGAAAATTAAAGCCAAAACATTTTAATTGTTACAGGAAAAACTTTTCCCTTTAATTTCTCTATGTTGGCAAAGATTACAAATGAAAATGTTGAATGCATTGAGAGAAACAGATAGACATAGATTAAAAAACTATAAGCAGTTAATGGAAGCAATTTAAAGAAAATAAGAGTTTAATCAAAAGAAGAGCCACTGGAATTCACTTCTGTTGGGTTTATTGAAATTTGCAACATTCAGTCCTATTCAATGATTTAGATTTCAATCTTTAATTGCTTGAAAACAATAAATATCAAAACCACACACAACCTTTTGTAAACTGAGGACTTCTTTTTCCAGATTCAATTGCACACAAAAAAGTTTGTGGTGCCTTAAACGAATGATAGGCTGGTGAAAGTTATCAAACAGGCATCACCTCTTCAGCAGACAAGCATTGTTGAGAGATTTCACTCTCTCTAAAATCACTTCACTTCAAAAATGACTGCATTCTCTTATACAGGAATTAAGTGCAGGTAATGTTGTTACATCTAAAGTGGAATATATGCTAGTGGTTTCACATCTAATTTGTCCATCTCACGAAATTCTCAGCATGTTTATTTGTTATTATGTTTGTAGGTTCAGATTATTCAAGCTTATTGAAAGTATTTGTGAACTGTGGTATTTGATTTTTGATAATTTTCATTGGATCACCCTCAGGCACATAATAGCTTCTGTTCATCTTAACGCAAATGTGCAACGTAAAGAGAACATGCTGCCAGATGGGTTTGTTCAGCTGTCAGTCCATTGCCCAAAATTTAAAAATGGTGAAGCAACTGTTAAATCTGTCAGTGAAATGCCAAACTTTGGTAAGTTTTTTCACTATCACCACATTATTGCAAAAGTTTGATAACACAACAAATACCTTTGAGTCGAGTATTACACCTTGCAAATTGATAGCAACAAAATACGTTTTCTAATACATTTAAAAGCACTTCTCTTATAGTCATTTAAGTTTGTATACAACTTGATTATGTATAAATATATAAACCCTCAAGCTTTGAAAAGCTTTAACATGTAGCTCTTTTATGAATATTGATAATAGGCCCTAAATATTAGTTATTTTCTATGTAGACTATCTTGATGATATATTTGCTGCAATTCTTTTGGGCATATCGCATGCTTTATTACCTGCATTAGAGAGAAAATTGGAACAACAGGTCCCTGCTCCAATGCACTCAACGTTTGACGAAAAACAGAGGCACAAAGATGCTATTTCAAAGTATGGGGTAAGAAAGCAGCTGCAAACAATTGAGGTTTCAGGAACATCATCTGAAACATTTGGGGAGGTTGCTCAACAGAGTACTGCTTCACAAGAAAGGAAGAAGCCAGCAACCATATAAAGGTCATAAAAATGTCCTAACCTGTCAAAAAAACTACAAAAACTAACATGTTAATTTGATATATACATTTTTTTATTGTAAAAATTGTAAATGTATATTGTAAAAAAAATACTCTGGGATAAAAAACTTTTCTTTATTTGTTTTTATCTCAGGCCACTTTAATTGTAATTTTGATGGTAAATATGCACTTTTTGCTTACCTACAAGAAAACTAGACTAGACAAGTTTATTAACAGAGGAAAAGACTTAGGAAGCCAGAAAATTTTTGTTGCAGTTTGTTATGGAAGTATGATTTATATATCCATGTCCTCAAAGCCAGCACTATCTTCTGTACCGAATAATTTGCTAATTGCATTATATGCACATGCTAGTAGTGGAATGCGATTTTTTCCCAGTGGTTCATAAATTGGAAGGGACAGCTCTCAAATTCCTAAAAAAGAAATGCATGGTATATATTTGCAAATTATTATAACAACAATAAACTTGAGTGAAATTGAATCAAGGGTATTAAAACGTTTTATAAAATTGTATATAGTTTGTTAAATATTTTATAGTTAATCTTTTCTTTATGTATCCTTGTTAAATGTGCACAGTATGTAAAAGCATCAGAGACACTTCTTCTGTCTTTGTCTTTTTGTATCTGGTTTTGTCCCTCTTCCAGTACTTGCTACCAGCCAACCTCAGTGTCCATCGGTCCAAGCAGCAAGAATTGAACCCTGGGTGTAAAGTAAAACAGCCTGGCTTGACATGCAATCATCCAGGAGTGTGCTATCTTCAAGGGCTTGGCTGCACTTTTCCAGTTTCTTGCAGCAATAGCATTCCATTGGGCTCTTCAATAAAAATACGTTACATAGTCCACAATTGAACCTAATGGGAAGATATTTATTTGCTTTCATTAAACGGAACAAAAGTACGTCACTTGCTGTTATTGCAAACCTTTAACTCATTGATAAAAATTTCTGAAATGCAATACAATTTAATGGAATTTTGTATAGAGGATCATAACACAATTTAACTTTCAAAAACTTTAAAAGCTGGTGTTCACTTTAAATAAATAGCCTGCAAAATTTTTCATGGGTTATAATCTCAATGAATGATGGTGATAATCTCTTCTCCAATGGCATCATTGAAGGTTTTGGGAGCCCCCATCGCTACTCTTTTCAATAATTGTGGTTTGAGACCCAAAATTAAATGTTCACATGTTGTCATTTCGATGATATCATTGCTTACATCAGGCAGGAAAGACCCAAAAACCAATTTTTGAATGGACGAGGCAAATTCGTATACACTTTCCCTCTTTCCTTGCTTTTTTTTCCAGCTTAAGAGCTATACGCAGACCTTATCATATCTGCCAAACTAAATTGGTCAATCAGCGATTGCTTGATTAGGTGGAAATTTGTCTTGTCTACTTCTTTTATTTTTTCAAAATCGTCTACAGCAGAACCTCTCAAATAGGAAGAAAGCATATTGCCAAATTTTTCTGCATCCAATTCATTGGCTCTCTCTATACTCTCAAACGATGCCAACCAATAAACTACGTCATCATTAGAATACCCATAACATTTGTTTGGCTTCGCCAAAAAGGAATTGCTTCCAAATGAAGAATCAAATTGTTGCGATGTGGCGATGTGCTGGGGCCAAGTAATGCGTTTTCCTCAGTAGCTGTCCTTGTAAATCTAATCCTTGGTAGTTCATGCACGGCTAAAGGCTAGGTACCTTATTCACTTAGTCCCTATTTAATCGAATATCCCAGACGACTGTCACCAATTGTGAAAGGCAGTCAGGCTTGAGCAGTATAGAAAACTACATGTTTCACCTTGACAGTTTCATTAAATCAACAATACACATTACTCAAGTGACACATGGAACACAAGTTAAAATTCTAATTACAAACTACTGTTTAATTAAAAAGCCTTAGGAAACACGTGAAGACCTTGACCTATAATATTTTACAAAACAGGAAAAGTCACTAACATGATATAAGCTTTAGCGACGATACAAGAGAAGAAAAACATTGACGTAAAGGCATGAAGGTTTTCCTTGCCATGTGGCCAGGCCTTGTGACAGCATTCGCCAACGCCTTGGCAGATCGAGCAGGAAGAGCCAAGACAAAAGCCAAGATCGAAGGTTTGCTTGAAACTCTACAATCATACAGGTTCTTTTGCAAGTTAGCAAGTTATGTGGATATTCTGGATGCTTAAGGTCCATCATCGTTGGTTGAAGGGGAAGGTGTAATGCTATATGAAATTGCAGAATCCATAGAGAAAATGATGTTTGAGTTAGATTATCTGGAAGAGAATGCAGGAACTGACAGAGAACTCCTGAACAGCCATATTGCTAGATTCAAATATGATGAAGAAGCAAAGCAAATGATAGGCATTTATCTTAACAAGGGTCACGGGAGAAGAAAAGCTGCTAACCGAGAAACGTTTAAATTTCAGGAATATTTTATTCAAAAAATTCACGCGAACAGGCAGCTGCTGCTAAAATATAAACTGTTCAAAAATTGAAATCTGTTCTCCAAAAACAGTTCCCGGAAACAAACAATGAATTGTTCATATCAATAGAAATATATGATTCACAGTATTGGACGGATGATAAATGATTATGGTATTCTGGAGCTTCATTGCATTTTAGAAGATTTTCAGCTCCTCTATCAGCAGCAGGTATCAGTGAGAAGGATCTTTTCACTGAATGGGGACAATTTCGTATTTTTGCTACCTGCCATTTCAGCGATCTTTTCTAAGAGCCTAAAAAATTATGGTGTTGTGTCTTAAATTTTTTGAAGATTGGAATTTTCTAATCTGTGCCTCATAATCGAGCTGTTAACATGTATTGCAGGCTCAAATTCAACTGTTGAAAGAGCATTCAGTTTGCTGACTCTTCTTAAAATTCAACTGTTGAAAGAGCATTCAGTTTGCTGACTCTTCTTAAAATTCAACTGTTGAAAGAGCATTCAGTTTGCTGACTTATCATAGCAATCGTTGATTGAGGATGCACCACAGCACGATGGAAGATCTTTGATTACAAAAGCAAACGATAAGCACTTGGTCCAAGTCAGAATGCAAGGGAATAATCAACCGAGCCATGGAAATGTATTTGGAGAAAAGAAGATAGGTGCATCTTGCAAGCTCTAAGGAAGATGTAGATATAGAACAAGAACCCAGCAAAAGAAGATGAGTGGAAGAAGTTGTTTCTGATAGTGAATCAGAATCAGATAATAGCAAAGAATTTTCCTGTGATGAAGAACAGTAGATCCAATAATGTTATAATTTGCTGAAAATGTTATTTTCCTGTTTTTGAAAGCATTTTCTTTAGTCAAAACATCTGTGTTTTCTTTTTACAGATGCTTCAAAGCATTTGCAAACCAGTTTTATGAATCGCAGAGATCGCCCACCTGACACCAATGAGGTGGGCAATTTATCGTCGGCCTACTCAAATTTTATGGCAAGGCCTGCAATATGCCTCTCATTCTCACTAGTTTTCTCAGATGGTAAATTTTTATACGCTTTGCCTCATCTTCATTTGCTTTTTTCTCTTCATCTGGCAGTTATTTCCAAGAAAGTCTGACAAACCTGTTTTGCTCTGAGTTTATTAAACCAATTTGTTTCCCTGGAATGAAACAGCAAAGTACAAGATTTATATGCTGCTAAAAGTTGATGGAAGATCGCAAACAACTTTTTCTCTATACCTTGCTTAAACTGCTTCAAGAAGAAAACCATTCATACTGCAAGTTGTAAAAAATATTGCTTTATATACACTACTTGCCAAAAATAACAGGCCACCCTGTAGTTTGGAAGATATTTGCCTAAAAGTATACCTAGGTAAATCAAAATTAGTGTAAACTGTATTAGTGTAGAGATGTGTGGTTGTAACGGAATGTATTCAATGCAACTTTATAAAGATATAACATATTTTACCAAAAATAAATTTTCAGTAGCTGCTAGAGCCTCCTTCTGTTTTATGAGTGCCAAAATATGCCTGTTCATTCTATTGAAAGGATTCGTAACATAGTCCATGGGAATTCTGTATCATTCCAAATTCACATTTTTTAACAGTTCATCTTCATTTCTAAATAAACCATCTTGAGCTTTATGCCAATAAAGTCCTGAACATGCTCACTTGAGTTCATATCCATTGCGGGCCATGACAGTATTGCGAGCCATGGCAATAATGGTCTCTTCCCATCCATCCATTCCTTACCAGTATTTGCTGTGTGACATGATGTCTTATCCTGTTGAAAACAGAATCATCATCTCTAAAATGATCTTTTATTAATGACAGAGCACGGAATTGTAAAATTTTAATGTAATGAGCTGCATTAATTGTATCCTCAATTTTGTGTAGACGGCCAACATCCTTACTTGTAAACCAGCCCCAACCCATTATCTGGTAACCTCTATATTTTACAATTTCACTTAAGCACCATAGAAAATACTCCTTTCCTCTACTTGTTCTTACATATACTGTTCTGTCACTATTCACAGGGCCGTCGCTAATCACTTTCACTTAGGAGGGTGCCAGTCACAAATTTGCCGACAAAATGGGGCATGGCCTAAGGTATTTCAATTTGGGGGTGTGGTATTTTGACGCACTTGATTTTGTTTATCAAAGAGTATGGTACTTAGTTTGCATGAGTGGATCTTACTAGAAGGACCGCCAAGAGGTTTAGAAGGCTTTGAAAGAAACCTGACGAGGCCTCTGCGAGCAGAAATTTTTTGTGACCACGCCCTTTAGATTGTCTTAAAATGCATTTCAGAGTATTTCTTGCAGTCATTTCTTGCAATCGTTTAGAACTTTAAACTATTTTTAGGCATACCTACGTTTCATTGATTTCATTCTTAAAATGGAGTTAATTACTACTTGAGGCCCCCTCGACCTCAAAGCACTGAGGCACTTTGCCCCCTTCCTTCCCTCGGCAGCCCTGCTTACAGTGGCTTCCAGTACCTCCAGGATCAACTTTAAGAGTTTTTCAATAAACTTTGTCCCCATACTTTAGGTAGAAATTAGGTCGCCCTGGATATTGGACATTAGATTCTAGACTCCAGCTGTCGACAGGGAGTCATTTGAAGTTTTGGGGGACATTTGCCCCTCCGTGACACCCATAGCGCCATCTGTACCTATTTTGAATTGCTGAGGGTTTTTGGGTGATACTTTTTCGGTCTTATCCTCATCTTATCCAAACTTTTTGCCAAAGCTATCGCATTGAGAACTTCGAAAGTAAAACCGGACAAAACTCTACTTTTTAGAAAATTTGCCGACAAGAATTTTCTAGGAGGGTGCCGCACCCCTCGCACCTGTGAGAGGTGCTTCTATTTATATTATTGAGATGGTAGAGCAAGGAAACACACTCTTTACATTTTCATATCTTGATAATCATTCAAGATTTATAACTTAGCTGAACGAGGATACAAAGATAACTGAACTACGCTTTACAAAGCTTCGGATTAAATAGTACTTGTCACGTGATTATAAAAGGTCATGTGATCTGGGGAGCGTCCTACAACACCCCCCACCCCCCGAGAACAATAACAACTTGAATAGTGAACTTAATAATAGTGAAAATGATAATACAGTACGTCTTCTAAGTTCCTTTAATTAAGTTCCTTTGTCATTATTGAACCATCAGGCTGCAATATTCCTTATGAGTTTTTGTCTATCCTCATAATATTGTAGGTCATCAGAAGTGGATGATCTAAATGGCTCCCTTCTGAACCTATCATTAGAGCCTGACCTTCAACAAGTGCAAATTAATGCCCATCGCATAGCTCGAAGAACAAACTGCTCTTGAACAGGGAAATGGATAAGGAAGTGCCCCTGCGTAAAAGATTTCATAAAATGCAACAGTGCATGCAAATGCATGAAAAAAAGAGCACCAACAAGTAAGAAGAGGTATGCTAACAACGGTCACATTTATTCTTCATTGGCAGTGCCAGGTATTTAAACTTGGAATACAAGAGAATGGAATGGAATACTAAAGCTACTGGCTAGGAGCATTATCCCAGACGGGGAGAGGGAATTCCATATGTTGAACATATGTAGATAGAAGGAAGTTCAGGAAATGGGGGCAGGGTCAAAAATCTATTCCATAGTTATCACATATAATGCTGGTTGTAAACAAATTGAATAAAAAGCAGCTAAACAATTAAATGTATATTCTACAATAACAATTGCTAGCTTAGTTTGGTTTTTCCTTGAAAATCAACAGGTTGCGGTCTGAGAATCTGATTTCGGGACAATGGAGAGTGGAAATGATGAAGATCAGTTTGCTGTTCTTTCAGACCTAGAGCCACTTTCATCTTCATGTGATGATAATGATAATGAGTCAGAGGTAGGAAATTTTCAGCATAGCTTGGCAAATATCAGTGGTCCAAACGTTCAAGTGTCATTTATCATCAAGAGAATAAATATTGATGGGCCCAAATTTTAAGTCTGGAATTTTTGAGGAATTCTGCATGATACATGATATGACAGCAAACTTTTTTTTTAACAAAGAGGCAGCACGCACCCTATGCAATTGCAAAGGAAGCTGTCAAAGGGGCTGCCCATGCAAGTCAGCAAAGAACTCTAACACAGATGATTGCAGATGTGCAATAAGCAAATGTAATATGTGGTTCAATGGACAACATCATCCAAAGACATCATCCTACACCAGCTGCACAACGAGACATGGCCTCAGAGCAAGGTGTCAGGATGCCTATATCAATGCAAAGGTATGATTTGACACATTAGGTAAAGTGTACAATTCAATTAACTCTTCGTGTTACCAATTCCTTCTAAATGTTTTATTTAATCTGGGATTTGTCTGTGATCAAAAAACAAACACTACCTCCAGTAATCCAGTGTCTATTTTGGGTGAAGTACTTCAGAGATTTCAGCCATTTCTTGTCAAAAACTATTTCCCTCAGTTTTGTCATTGATGAGCTCTCTGGTCTGATGTGTGACTTTGTCAGATCTTCTTCTGTGATCGCTTCATTATAATAGCGATACTTTCTTCAATCTATGATATATATATATATATATATTGGGCCGTTTGGCTCAGTGGAATGAGCGGGGGTTTTCGACGCAGCAAACTGGAGTTCAATTCCGACCAAGAGTAGTTCGATACAATTGGGCAGCACCCTTGTGGAAAGAATTTTCCTGCTGTCAGCATTTGCCTTATGCCTTATATACAAACACCTACCATTAAAATGCCCTGGACAATAAACAGATAACAGCCATTCTCTCAACAGACATAAGCAAAGCCTTCGATTCCATGGTTCCAAGTCTCCTGCTAAAAAGCTTGAATCCTATGGCCTGGCCGAAGATTCTCTGAGATTAATAACATCCTACTTTGAGCAAAGACAGAATAGGGTCAAACTAGGAAATATAAGAAGTGAATGGAAGGAAACAACAAGAGGATGCCCACAAGGATCAGCATTCGGTCCCATGTTGTGGAATATCTTTCAAAATGACTTGGTCTTCAAAATAATGCACTCTCAGATAAGCATGTATGCCGACGATCATCAGATCTATTATTCCGGATTGAACGGTAATGAAGTTGAGATGCGTTTGAATAAAGACATCAAGACGGCCTCACAATGGTACAAGGACAATCATATGAAAGCAAACAAAAACAAATACCAAGCGATGGTAATTCAAAATAGCAAGAATAGCAATATAAAGATAAAAGTGGCTGATGAAAACAATGAAGCAGAACAAACAAGATGTCTTAAGCTGCTTGGTGTTGAGGTTGACGATGAGCTAACTTTTGGCACTCATATCAGCAATTTGTGCAAGAGAGTGAGTCAGAGAATAGGTGTCTTATCTAGATTTCGTAATATAATACCTACCAATGCGAAACTAACAATCTACAAGTCAGCCATTCTCTCTCACTTAACATATTGCAGTACAGTCTGGCACTTCTGCAAAGTAGCAGATAAAAGAAAGATAGAGAGACTCCAAGAGAAAGCCCTTAGAGTTGTTTATAATGATAAGTCTACGCCATATGCACAACTCCTTATGAAAGCAAACCTGCCATCTCTCCAGAATAGACGACTTCAGGACATTGCCATACTTATGTATAAAGTTAAAAACAGCATAGCCCCACACTTTATAAAGGATTTGTTTGCAGTAAAAGAAACTCCCTATGAATTAAGAAACAGCAACTTTGTAATTCCGAAATTTCGTACGGTAAAAGAAGGAAAACATTCAGTAAGATACTTTGGCCCATATCTGTGGAGCAAATTAAAGAGAGCCATCAAGCAGGTGACAACAATAACCCAATTCAAGAAATGTATAAGAAGAATGGACATAGAAACTCTTTTAGACTGCAGACTTTAGTTTAGTTGTACATAGGATTTTTAGAAATTTTTATGTTTTAATAATTATACTGTAATTTCATATCTTATGCTCTAATTTAACTTTATATACTTTTTTTCGTTATGTCCCCAATTAGCTTGTAAGCTAAATATTTTTTGACACATTAATAAAGTTTTTGATTAATTTTTTTGATTGATTGATATATTTGATATATATATATATATATATAAACTCCAGATTGCGTTGTCTATTCTGACGTGACAGTATTGATGTGCAAAAGCACAGAGCAATAGATATAATAAAATAGAATATAGACTAGAAATGAGACATGTTCTCTGTTACTCCAAGTTTCGTGCTTGCGCACTCATCAGACAGACTATAATGAAGAATATTTCTGTTACCACGGTATAAATATACAAAAGGTGTGATAAAGTTAGGCAAAAGAAATTTTATTAGATACAGGTAAATTAGTTAGGTGGAGTTCTATTGCTCATAAGATAAAACTTGTTTTTGTGTCGGCATTTGGAGATTAATTCGGATCGTTTGTTTAGAAGGGTGTTGTTATTTGCTTTGATGATGTATAGTTTTTCTGTTAAGCATAGGTCACACCTTTTTGTAATGTTGTTGTATGGTTTGGCTGAGGTGATGATGGTCCATTGTATGTCATAATCGTTGTTTTTGTCTTTTAGTTCCCAGATGTATTTTGATAGTTCAGTGCTGTTGGCGTATTTTCGGTTGCGGAATGAGAGTTTGTGTTGTGTAAATCGTTGTTTGAAGGTTCCTTCTGTTAGTCCAATGTAGTTTTTGCTGACAGTGTCTTCAGTTGTAGTGATATTTTCGTTGTAGATGATGCAGAAAGAGAGGCAGTTGTTGTCTAGTGGGTATTGGTCTTTTTTTCTGCAGTTGCATGTTTTCTCGTTGGTAGTGGTGGGATTGGTGTTGATAATTTTCTTGTTGTGTTTGTTGATGATGGTTTGCATATTATCCATACAGCTGTAGCTGACTTTCACATTGTTCTTGTTGAAAATCTGATGGAATTTGTGATTCTTTGGGAAGTGTATGTGTATGAGCTTGAGGAAAGTTCTGCCGATGTTAGTTTGTACATTCTTGCTTTATGGTGGGTTGTACCAGATTATGTTGCGCTGATGTTTCTTCTTTTACGTGTGGGTGATGTATGGTTGTTGTATTTTAGGGTGTCGGGGTATCCACTGGCTTTTAGGGCGTTTTCATAGATGGGCTTTGCTTTGTTGAATTCACTTTTGTTGCATGATATGTCAGTTATTA